CTGGTGTCATCAGTTATGTTGATGTTATCATCCAAAGGAACGTTCAGATCGACTTTGACGAACACCTTTTTCCCCTTCAAATCAGCTTTCTTCACCGATTTCGAAGCTTGAAAACACGAATGTCATACAATAACAACAAAACCCTATTCTCATATGCAATGGGATAAGTGGAATAAGGGGAGGTAGGGTAGTAGGCTGCCCCCAACGCCAGGTTGAGAGAAGCTTCCATGGAAGACCTTCGGCAGTAAGAAAATTAAAAATAAAGATAAAAATGCAATACATGAAGGAAAAAAAAAATAGTTGAACTGTCTTCCTATGCATTCTTAGTATGCGCGTCTGTTATGGAAAGTAAATCTCTGCATATAGATAGAAACTTAAGACCTGACTAAATTTAAAAAGAGGAAACATGAAGAGAATGATATGCAGAAGTCAACGAATAGCTAGCTACGAGGAGGAATAAAGTCAAATGGGTTAAAACTTAAATCTAAGGCAACATTACTCTGCTACCCTAGTTCTAAGCATTCATAAAATCCAATGAGAGAAACGTATAAAAGTCGAAGTCATGGAAATTACAACAAAGGCATTAAAAGAAGACAGAGATGAACCCTATTGCGATGTTTGTATGAAAATATCACTAAAGTACTACTTTATTGCGGCATTTGTTGAAAAACGCCACTATAGATGAACCCTATTACGGCATTTGTATAAAAACGATGCTAAAGTATTACTCTGTTGCGGCGTTTATTGAAAAATGTCACTATAGATTAACTCTATTGTGGCGTTTATATAAAAACGCCACTAAAGTATTACTCTATTGTGGCGTTTATTGAAAAAACTCCACTATAGATGAACCCTATTGCGGCGTTTGTATGAAAACACCGCTAAAGTACTATTATGTTGTGTCGTTTGTTGAAAAATGCCACTAGGGATGAACCTATTGTGACATTTGTATAAAAACGCAGCTAAAGTACTACTCTGTCACTGCATTTTGTATAAAAACGCCGCTAAAGTTACCATTTTTTGGCGTTTAGAATTTAAACGCCGCTATATGTTTAAAGTTAATGGCATTTACTCTCAAAACGCCGCTGTATAACAATTTTGCTGTAGTGACTTTACCTTAAATAAAATTCAAGTTATGATTTTTTTTGTTATCATTTATCATACATCATATTTTTTCATTGATATGTATCTTATTATGCAAACAATGTGATATCTTTCGCATGGAACATGAATGAATCAAACCAAAAACAATTATAAAGATGAGAATACTTTAAATTTTTTACGCCATTCATTTTGGTGGTGAACTATATGAAATTGAGTTTTTATATTTTTAATTATGTGAGATGAATTTTTCTTCTTAAAATATGATAATTTTAATATATTTTTTGTGAGACTATTTATATGATATTCATTAAAGTTATAATTGTTATTATTTATTATTCAATATCATAGCACTTATATAATCTATACTTGCAAAATGAATGTTATTTATTAAAATTATAGTTGTTATTATTTATTAAAATGTGAGAATTTATGAGTCCTCCACATTGATATCGTGGACTATCATGTTAGTACCATGAATTATCACATCAACATCGTAATAGGCAACAACTGAAATTGTTGTTCAAAGGACCATATTAGATTTTTTTTTTGTAAGTTTGAGGTTCACATTGAGTGTAAATATAATTTATGGGTCACATTAGATTTTTTTTTGAAATTTTTTTACGGCCTCAGGTACTATTAAGTAGGAGTGAGTGTTTGGTCGACTCAATTCGAGTTATTCGAGTTGACGAGTCATATTTTATAACTTGAACTTTATTTAAATTTTCTTAGTCGAGTTGAGTTGTTTGAGTTTTGTTTTAACTTAATTGTAAATATTTATAATATTATAATACTATTTGATTTCAATTTGAACAATTTTCTATAACTATATACAATAAATATATGTATTTCTTCATATTTTTTTCATATGTGACATACATATATCATACAGATTCGAGAGACTCAACTCAAACTTGAAAACTAATTCACTAATTACTAAATATTTTGAGTTATTCAAGCTCTATTTTATAACTCGACTCGAATTGAAAATTGATTTTTCGAGTCGAATCGAGTTTCTCTCACCATATCGTTAAGATAAAATAAGATATTAAAAGAGTGTATTAATATTAGTATATTAAAATATAGTTGCAAAATTTGTAAATATAATATTTTTGAAATATTGTGAATTTTAGGAACAAATCACACCCGTGACAATCGTTAAGTAATGTCCGCCACATTTACAACTGCATCAGTGATGGACAACCTCATCTTGCATCTTGCTAATAAAAGCATTCTTATAAGAAAAAATTATGAAACTCACCTTATGATTATGAAGCGAATCCATCTTTTGGTTGTTTATAGAAACCAACATGGCTATTATAAGTGCTACTTTAGACATTTCCCATAAGAATGACCATTATTGTTCTTTTCTGTTTTTTCATTTCTTATCTACACATTTTCCTTCTTAAACCTTGCATGAATATGCAGACGTTAATGAGAAGTTTACTCTAGCAGGTTCTAGGAAACATAGAAGGAGTGCTTGGTTATACACACACAAGTCTTCGGTGTAATACACTTATAGTGAAGCCAAGAAACGAATCAAATGAGGCAACATCCCAAACATTACTGAGGGATGTTCAAAATCATCAAAATCACTATTGTTGTTAATTGTCCATGTTAAAGGTCCTATGGCATGATGCATGTCATCAGCACCAATTAAACCCACCATTTCCGACCTTAGCTTTCATCACCTTCGATCTTCTCCAGCTTTGATTCTTCCTCAACCTTTACCTCACTTCCCTCTTCGAGTTCGGACGTCTCACCGGAGTTGATCTCCCTCTCAGACTGTTTGACATCTTCTTTAGTCTCGAAATTCACTTTACGATCACTCTCAGAAGTAGGGATTCAAATAGCGACCGAATAGTGGTATAGGGGCCGCTATATCGCAGTCGCGGTGGCATCCGAGACCGCTATTGCAGAAAATAGCGATGTGAAGCGGAATCACACCAATAGCGACGGGTCGCGGCTGCAATTTAGAGGATAGTGGGCAACCGCGGCAATAGTGTACCGTTATTCCGCTATTTTATTTTAAAAAAAAAATCAGTTTTTCATTAAAAAAAATCAACTAACTTGAAAAAAATTCACGGCAGCGATACCTGTAACGACCGTAATAGCATCGATTATATCCGCAACCACGATAAACGCAACGCGACCACAACCGCAATTTAAAATATTCTCGAAAGATCCAGCCACCTAACCCGTGGAGCCAAGTAGAACCTAATGTAACCCGTGGAGCCAAGTAGAACCTAATGTAACCCGTGTTTTCTATCTTGTACTCCATTGCAATCGGAATATCAGGCAACATGATGATTGTCACTTCCTTGGACAATCGGATTTCCTTTGTAAATAAAATTAAGTATCTCAATGCAAAGGTCAGCGAAACTGCCTCCTTCATTTCTATAGAAATAGCTTCTTCCTCCTGTTAATACATTCAATAGCCCATCATCTTTCCAGTTTTTAAAGCAATCAAGTGTTTTGATGAACTGTAGATTTCCATCAGCTTCATCTCATAATCAGAGTTCTTTCCTTGAGGTGCAAAATCAACAACAAAAACTCCAAACTTTAACATAAAATGAGTGAAAGAACAATGTCCTGCAACCTCCCTTTACATGAGAAGCCTTTTTCTCTTGATTTTCTTGGAAACCAAATCATTCTTTCAAAGAATTCCACCAAAAACAATGAAAAGGAGAAAAAATAAATAAAGAAGTTGTAAGCTTACAAACAGGACGGACACAAAAATTTATGTCGGAATGCGAACCTAAGAATTTATATTAAAAATTTTAAGGAATGCAAAATCATATATTCAATAGAAAATACAACTAGAAAAATCTAAAATATAAGAGAATTTGAAAATTCAAAGGGATCGACTGCATCCCCAGCACCCTTCGGTCCATCCCTGCTTACAAGGGTTATGAAACCTGAAAGTGACAGAATCAGTGCCATCATCAGCTTTAACGGTGACAATATCATCATCGGAGGCACAACGTAGTATCTTGGCCATGTCAGCCACGTTCATCCCCATTAAAATATTCCTGTTGCAAAGGTTAGAATATTGTCTCTCCTTATCCTAAACTCAAACATTTTTTTTTCTATATCCTTTTCTTTCTTTCTTTTTTTCCTTTCCTAGGAGTTGAAAACGATAAGCAGGCTTTGATTGCTTCTTCATAGGGGGCTTTTTTTACTTAAACCAGAAAACTGCCATCTAAACGACGTCGGTTAAGAAACTAACTAAATATAAACTCAATATTCTCCCCAACTTCATTTTCTTTATTAATTTAGGTAAGTGCATGATTACACCATCTTATTTATATCTGTTCTTTTAGTTTGCTTCATGGATCAGACAACGTTTCATTGACTTTAGTCAAGGGTTTAACATTTTGCATATTTATATATATTAAATTTTAACATTTTGCATATTTATATATATTAAATTTTAACTTTATTATTTATTTTAACATTTTGCATATTTATATATCTGTTCTTTTATTTTTCATCCCCAAACATAACTCTCATTCTATACTAGTCCCCAAAATTTTGAACGTTTCAATTTCATCCCCACACTTTTGAATGATTTTGGGAAGGTTATTTGAATGTTTAAAAGTTTGCGAACCAATTTAGAATATGAGTCATAGTTTGGGTATAAAGTTGGAACGTTCAAGAGTTTGGGGATCATTTTAGAATGGAAGTCGTAATTTAAAGGTTAAAATAGAATGTTTAAAAGTACAATGACTAATTTAGAATGATCATAATCAAAAGAGAAAGACAAGTACCGACATCTACAATCTAGTTGGTATCAAGAAGCTAACACTGTTATGCTCATAATCAAAAGAAAAAGACAAGTACCGAAATATCTCATAATCAAAGAAGGCCAACTTATAAATCCTATGGTATTAAGGTGTTCAATAGTAACATTTCAGTCTCTCGTGCTTCCTCGATAAAAGGATCGAAGACCATCCTCTGGACTGAAGTTTCATACACAATTCCACAGTTAGCCGCTGCTTCAGATTGGTTGCATCTTCAATGGAACCACTTGGTTTGCTAGATCCATATTTCAGGTTGAACCTGATCCGCACTCGAGTTTTATTAACCCGAAAATGAAGAGTCGAAGTAACATAGCGAAAAACAGAGGGACTAACTGATGCTGATGTATTAATTGATAGGAGTATGCAGGATCTGAATCAAGGATGTCATCTATGTCCACCAACACAACATCCGGATGACTATTTGATGGTGAAATAGTCTCGAAAAAGCTTTCGATCATCGAGATCGATAAATTTAAATCTCGGTTGTATTCTCCGTGTTCGATATATCCGAAGGAGAGACTCCGGCAGACCGGAGGAATATCGGATTGTTTCAAGCTGTTGAGCTCGCCATGTGAAGAAAAAGCCTTGCAATAATGGTAAACATCACTCCCTTTATGAATCTGCACTACTCCCTTGCTCCTGCTTTCCCAAGACTGCAGCATTACCGCTAATGTGACGACCAAAGTTATCAATAGAACACCAGTAGTTAGAAGACCAGCAATGAAGATTATAGCAGCAAAAGAGGTCATGTAGAATCCCTATTCCAGCACATATCGGCTTCCCATCTCCGTTCCTGCCGAGAATGACCGAAATCAATACTTAAAAGTCTCAGAAAAAGGGTGTTCGAATATTCGAATATCAGACTAGAGTATTCGAATATTCGAATATCTGAAGTAAAATCGAAAAAAAATGAGATTAATACCAGTATCTTCTCTCCTCAGGAGACGCTAAGCTGAGAAGTCTCGTTCCATCTGATGGCCATAGGCTGACATGGTGATTCAATCAGGTGAGGTTCAAAGCAGTGCGGCAAAATCTGCAGATCCAGATCCTTTCAAAATCATTGAAGGTCACCTGTAACGACAAATAGCAATCAACTGACACGAAATTATTTTTGACTCTATGGGTGGGAATCAGTGGTATGATGATAAAGACAATCCCAGCTTTACCGTAAAAAGAGAAGCTTCATGATCTACCTGGTCTGAGCTAGAAATGAGTGAATATAAAAGGTTTAATATAAAAATAAGTGGGTAAATTATAGATTTTTTATGTTTAAATTTTTTTATTAAAATAAGTGATTAATATTTTCTTCGTGACTATCATTAAAAAAACATTAAGTTATACATGTCACATATATATTTTTTTAATTTTTTAAATAAAATATTTTTAAAAAATGTTTTTTTTTAATCTGAACATAATATGTGTCACTTAACAACAACAACAACAACAAAACACAATTCTCATATGTAATGGGGTAAGGGAGAGATAGGGTAGTAGGTTGCCCCCAACGTCAGGTTGAGAGTAGCCTCTGTGGAAGACCTCCGGCAGTCAGAAAATTAAAAATATAGATAAAATGCAAAGCATGTATAAATAAATACATAAATACATAGTTGAACAGTATTCATATGCAGTCATAAATATCATTAATATCATATGCGCGTTTGAAATAGGAAGTAATCCCTGCAAATAAATTCCTGCGAAAAAATCTCTGCCTATAGACAGAAACGTAAGACCCGACTAAATTTAAAAGTGAATAGAATATTACACAGAAGTCCACGATAGCAAGCCCAGTTCTAAGCCTTCATAAATACCAAAAACAGAAACGTATAAAAAGTAGAATTCATGGAAATTACTACAAAGGCATTAAAAGAAGAAAGAGATAATACACCCTAGAGATGTAACCCACACTACTCGACTACCCTAGTCTTTAGTCTTCATACTTTCCTATCAGAGGTCATGTCCTCGGTAAGGGCTAAATCCATCAAATCAGATCTCAAGCAGTCTTCCCACTTCCGCCTTGGTCGTCCTCTCCTTCTGGCACCGTCGACTGTAATCGACTCTACCCTCCTGACCGCATCCGACGGTAGTCGCCTAAGGACATGCCCAAACCACAGCTTGAATTAATAAGGTTATGTTCTTGTTTGTTTTGTTTACTTTTGCATGTGTTCATGTTTGGTTTAGGTTCATTTAAATTTTTAATATCACGTTGATTTATTTATTGTTCGAAAATATATTCACTTAATGTTTATAAAAATGTTCGTTTTGCGTTTAATTTTAAATTTTCATCGTTGCAAAGTATAATACCTTGTTTTGACTATATCCCACTATATATCATTTAATAACCGAATAGATCCCCTATCTTTGGTTCAAATCGAATTTGAAATGGAGGAATTTCAAGTATATTTAGAACTAAATAGATCTCACCGACACGATTTCCTATATCCACTTATTTTTCGGGAGTATATTTATTAGAACTAAATAGATCTCACCGACACGATTTCCTATATCCACTTATTTTTCGGGAGTATATTTATGCACTTGCTCATGGTCATGGTTTAAATAAATCGATGATTTTTTTTGGAAAATAGGGTTACAGTAATAAATTCAGATCACTAATTACGAAACGTTTAATTATTCTGCAAGCTAAAGAAAAATGGTAAAATTATGTTACTAGTGCATAAACTCAGTAAGATTTATAGTTTGAACTCTAAATTGCATAATGTGTTTAATTTAGTACCTACTTCCACTGATATTTAAAATGTCAAAAAATAAAAAGAGGAGAACCGAGTAAACAAGCTTCTAAAAGAGCTATTAAACGAGTTTTTTCATGAACATAAACGAGCTTGTAAATGACTTATAAACGAGCTTGTTTGTTAATATAAACGAACTAAATAAATGAATATAAAAATTTTGTTTATACTCATTTATTTAGTTTAATAAACGAACATCATGCAAACAATTCACGAATAGTTCACCAAATGCTCTATTTATTTACACCCGGGATAGGTTCCATAAATATTTTCTTTATTAGATATAATGTTAATAATCACTGAAGTCAAATATTGCTGACCAACTCATTGTTTAACAGTAGAAATTTGGTGAAAAGAAAGATTAAAAAACAACAATTAGAGAAGAAGAAAAAAACGCCCAACTTCATGATTTAAATTACAATGAGCCATTCAAAAAGAAAATTATCATAAGATATTTCCATAAAAAACGAGACATAACAAAAAATAAAATTTCAACCATATTGAATTCTTAAACTGATGTTTTTCTTACATTATCTTTAAACAACCCTGAACAATACAAAGTGTGACAAAGAGACAGAGTAGAGAAAGAACCAGAGAGGGGGTTTAGCTTGCAGAGAATCAGAAAATGAAGGGGGTTAATATCCTCAAACTGTGACCATCATTCTGAATTGGTTCCTAAACTTTTGAATATTCTTATTTCATCCCTAAATTATGATTCTTAAATTAATCCTTAAAATTTTAAAATTCCAAGTTTATCCCCAAAAATTATCCTTATTCTAAATTAGTCCCCAAATTTTTAAACATTTTAACGTTATTTCAAACTATCGGTATATATGCTAAACATATCCACATTAATAAAATTATTAGGTCAAGCTATATTATTATGTGTTTTAAAAGAAAATAAAACTTAAGATTAAATTATGATTGAAACTAGTTACATATTTGGATGAATTTAGAGATGAATTTAAAATATTTAAAAGTTCGAGGCCCAATTTAAAATGTCAATTATAGTTTAGTGATGAAATTAAAATATTAAAAAATTTGAAAACTAATTTAAAATAAATAACAATTTCGAGATAAAATTTTAAAAGTCAATTTAAAATAAAACCTGTAATATAAGACGTGACATAATTAACTCTTACATTGATTTGTAGTTTTAGAACTGATCCAAGACAGCACTAAAGACTTTATTTTCACAATGAAGCTTCCTTCTTTGTAATGTCTTGGTGATCAGTGATTGGTAATGGCTTTTTCACGCGACAGCCTGTTCCTACTCTTCTCATATAATTTTGGGTAAATTATACATTTAGTATCTAAATTATGAGTTTTAGCTTATTTTAGTATCTAAACTTTTAATTTTTTACCAAATCATACCCAGTGTTTAGTTTTCATTTCATTTTGGTACCCTACCATTAAAAACTTAACATGTTTAGTACTTAAACTATCAATTTTGATCTGTTTTAATACTTAAACTTTTAAAAAAAATTCAAAATTTAACATTAAATTTTAAAAGGGGTACTAAAATTAAAAAAAAAGTTTTTAACGGTAGGGTATTAAAATGAAATAAAATCTAAATTTTAGGTGTGGTTTTAAAAAAATTGAAAGTTTGAGTATTAAAACATATCATAACTAATAGTTTAGATACTAAATGTGTAATTTAACCTACAATTTTATTCATGTAAATAGTAAGATAATTCTTGGGCTCTACCATCTCAATCATGCAATGTAATTATTTCGTTGGAAAAATAAATATGTAATTAACGTTGTTACTTTTGATTTGTAGATGAGATTCTGTAGCCTCCACATGACGAAGATCTGTCGAAACTTTCCATACTCTATGATTTTTTATATTTAAATTATTATCAGCAATAATAGTTTTTAATTAAAATAAATGAGAGTATCATTATTTTTAAATTCTTATATGTAATTTTCATTATTTCAGATAATAATATCTTTAAAATAATAAGTTTTTTTTCTTTTACATCCTTCTTGATTCTTATTTTTCATATTTTGCTCAAAACCATAAATATAACAATAATATACAAAGAGCTTGATTTAATAAAATATTAATAAATTTGATTAATTAAAATTATTTTATATATTTTATATATTTTATATTAATATATTAATTATTTATATTTTATGAGGTAAAAGTTTTATTGTGATAAAAAATAATTATTTGAAATAATATTTAATTTTAAAATATTAAAAAATAAATTTTATATATTAAAAAATAATATATCTTTCCACTCAATACCATAACATTATATATATTTTTTCATATTGCATTATATTTTACATAAATTAATATGATACTTGCGAATTTTTTAAAAAATATAAATTTAATATCAATTATGTGTTAATGTACTTTTTTCAAAAATTAAATAATATAATGATTAAAATATTTTATATTTTTTAACTCAAATATCTATAATATAATATTAAAATTTATTGAAAACAACATATATCCAAATGATAACTTAATAAAATATTCATTCAAATAATCTTTATATTTTTACCGTCAAACATTGTAATCTTACATTTATAGAGTAATGTTATATTGCAATAATCTGATTATTTCAGAAGATAATCTCATAAGAGAAAATCGCCTCAGTGACCAAAAAAAAAGTTATAATATACGATTTTAACCAACTTTTTTTGGATTTGCCAAAATGACCAACAAAATCGCAACGCGAAATAAAAATCGCAACGCGATCCCCAGAATCGCAAATCAGTTTCCAAAATCGCAACGCGATTCTTGAAAATCGCAATGCGATAGTACAAATTCGCATTGCGATTTTCCAAAATCGCAACGCGAATATGAAAATCGCAACGCGAACACATAAATCGCAACACGTATCCGTAAATCGCAACGTGTATCCGTATATCGCAACGCGTATCCGTAAATCGCAACGATAATACATAAAATCGCAACGCGTATCCGTAAATCGCAACGCGATATTTAAAGCGCCATTATAATCGCTACGCGTATTTTATTTTCA